GTACCCCCCCCCCCCCCCACCCCCCACCACACACACACACACACACAAAAGCAAATAAAGTGCAGCCTAACAGTGATGTCACGGGCTTGGCAAATAGAACGATAATTTGGATCACTTTAGATTATGGACTAAGTGAAACTGGAAGGGATAGTTAGAGGATCATTTAGGTAAAACTTGACAAAGGGAGGATCTTGTCTCCAAAAGAAGAAATATTGCCTGAAACACCCAAGGGTATGGCCTAGTTGGTCAATGAAGTGGGTTTTGAGAACTTAAGGTCTTAGGTTCAAATCCTACCGGAGACAAATTTGCTTGGTGATTTCTTCCATCTGTCCAAGCCTTGGTCGATAGAGTTATTTGATACTTGCTGGCGGGAGATAACAGGTATCCCGTGGAATTAGTCGAGGTCGCGCATTCTTGCCCGGACACTACAATTATTTAAAAAAGGAAATATTCACTGAAAACGAGTAGTAAACAAGATATGGGGTTATGCATCTTCGCCATCTTTTCTTTTCATAATATTTATTTTCTTTGTCTGCAACTGAAACTTAAAGGAACTGAATAAAGTTGTCCGGGTATGACATGAATATAGACACCAGGATTGTTTCAAATGCCACCTCTTTTCCTGGCCAAAGTGAGGAGAGTCCATTTATGGGCCTAAATTATGTGTTTTAGGCTAGAATCTCCACATTTGATAAGGATTCATCACTAGCTAAGTTCTACCTCTCCAAGCATATGGCTCATAGATCCTGCGTATTATTTGCTTCAAGAACTAATCTTAATTTTCACTCTGATTTTCTTGCAATGTATGCTTGTCACCTTCTTCATTGGGATGGATCTATTTGGGTTTGGTGAGCTCCACTCTCCCTCTTCATATTGGATGTGGTGCTGTATTTGGGGTTTGTTGTTCCCAAATCTCAACCGGATAATTTGTCGTTAATGCCACTAGAAATTCACAAAAGTAGTAGCTCGCGAGAATAGCATCCGCTTCGGAACTCTCTTATATGTCCAAGGTTCAATATTTAAATAAGTTCAGAGGCTTTCCGTGATTTTGTCCGTGTCAACAAATAAAGCGAAATACCTCTGACTTTTGTATTGGGAGTTTCTGTTCTTATTCTTGTATAAACTGTTATACTATATCTTTTTCTTTCGACAGAGATGTTTGCAATCTATTTAACTCTGGCTGATTTACCATTTTTGATCAGAGTAATTGTGACACTTGTTTCCTCTCGACTTTTTGCTAGGCAAAGGCCAAGTCTCAAAAGAAGGTTGAAGCTAAGGCACATCATTGAAAGAGAGAGCATATGTTGGATTTGATGTCTGCTGATGAGATAAGAAACGACGATTAAACTGTTTCACTTTTCACCTGATGCTTGGGGTCATCAGTTTGACTTGTCGCTTTTCAATTTTGTGTTGAGAGCTTTTAGGTAGTTTTATGATTTTTGGTGGTTCAGTGATAATTCAGCGATACCAGTTTAAAGACTGCGTCATAGATCTGACAACTCAATAATCTGCTTTGTTAAACAAACATCCTGAAGCTAAAACGGCATTAAGTGATGGGCGTCCATCAATTATGAAGATATGTAGATTTGCCGTAAATGCCGAGCTTTGAATTTACTGCTGTTAGTCCAGATTGGGGCCAATTCGATAGACCTGGCCAGCTATATAAGGTTGGACGCAAGTACACATGGATTTCTAAAATGGGCCCCTTTTCAACTTGGTTGGAGTCCATGGGCTCCTATGAACTTAGACTACTATATAGTAAATTATATTACCCTCCATGCTTAACTTTTAATATAATTACCTTTTATAATACCTAATTATTATTTATGTACATTTTAGGGGCTTTAATGGTATTAATTAGTCTCCTAATTTAACTCTATTGTATATTCTCGCTCTCCCCACGTTTTTCTCTCCAAATCCCACCCCCTCATCCACGTATTAGACCACACACCACGATTTCCTCTTCAATCATCCACTATTTCCTCTTCTAAAACCAGCGAAAATCTGCAACCCCTCCATTAACGCCTATTCTCAAGTTCTTTCTTCTAAAACCAGTCAAAATTTCTACTATTCTTCAAAGTTCATTCACCTATTAACGACCAGCTTCAAAGATTTTCAATGAAGAAGAACAAAGCTTCAAAGAACAGCCTTAAAAAAGTTAAAGAAGCAGATGTTCCTTCTTTCGATTTCGGTGTTTTATCACCACATTCACCGAAAAAGCATGAAAAATTTGCTCATGCAAATGAAGAGAAGAAGCATAGGCTTTCCCCTCGTTAAGCTATGGCAGAAGCTAGAACTAAACAAAAATATGATTTTGATGTTGGTGAATTTTCGAGGCAAATCAATTCAGCAAGAAGGAAAGGCAAAGAGATAGATTTTGATGATGATTTTGTAGAAGATGAACCTGTCATTAAACCTGCAAAGAAAGTTAAAGTGTCTCCTACTGTAAAAGCTCCAAAAAAGCTCCTACTGTAAAATCTCCTAAAAATGTTCAATAACATTCATTGGTGAAGGTAAGAATTTAGTTTTCTGAATCTGTTTAAACTTGTAGATATATTGTAAAAAATTGTAGTTATATTGTTTTTGTTTTTAACTGTATTATGTAGTTGTAGATATATTGTATGACAAATGTAGATATGTTATTTTTTAGATTGGAGCAGTGTATTAATAAGAGATTATTTATTTTTTGTGCAGAATGGACATTTTTTTGCACCTCATAATGTTGATTATGGGGTCCTTAGGTTTCAGACATTGTCCGACCCTTTGTGAAAGTGAGGTGACTAGCAGATTAGCAAGGAAAAAAGGTACACCAGTTGTGAACGAGAAAACACAAGTTTGGAGGAAGAAGAATTAGTTGTAATTTTTTGTATTGAACATGTAGTTAAATTGTTTAGTTGCAGCTAGTTTTGTAGAAAGATAATAGACAAGTTTATGAACAAGATTGTTGAAGTTTAATTGTAGCAGATTTGTGCTACAATTATCTTACCCTTTATTTTTTTTGTTTTATCCAGTATACTAGTTCGAACAATGGGGAAACATTCTGTTGTTTTTATATTCACTTGTTGAAAGTAAACAGTACTTGATCTAATTATTGTTATTGGTTAACTCCTTTTCAACTTAATTATTATGTAGTTACTTTGTCAACTCCAGATTATGTAGTTATTTTGTAGTTTGTTTGTAGATAAATTGTAAGGATCATTAACAACTATCAGTGGGTGCTAGAGATAATAAAACAATTGTGTATTATATATATAGAAATCATTCACAAACCAATCAAGCTATGAAAGTATTAACTCAATACAGAATACTAATTTAACAAAACAATTTCAGACTAACTACATTAAGAGTTGAAGGTGCCTCAACTATTACACATCAAATATAATGTGGCATGCCGGGATAAACAATAGATGTTGCCTTCAAGAGTCTCATTCCGATCTGAAACAACACACATATTTGGTTTTTCACCATATGCATGTTTGAATTGCTCAAAAAATCACTTCCATGATGCGTCATTTTCTGAATCAACAACAACATATGCTAGTTGCCTTGAAGTGCCATGTACAATATTCACCAACACATACCAGCCAATAGCTACAAAATAAAAATAATTTAAACACTGGTATAAAAAATGTAGATTAAAAAAAAACTGTTGTAGCATAAAAGATCATATTCAACAATTTATATACAAAACAACTACGAACTATCTACAATTTTGTTAAACAATATCACAAGAAAAACTGAAGAAGTAAAAATTTACAAATAAACTACAAAATAAAAAGAAATAATTTTTGACCATTCATACGTTCCTACCTTCTAGCACTAGATCTTTTCACCCTAAATTGGAACTTGTTCATGACAGAATAGTGCTTCATTACACTCGCAATTGTTTGCTTGTCTTGGTATACTTATCCTACTTCAATAACACTTGGTGTACTTTCTGTTATTATTATACTTTCATATTCCTATCGCCGGAGATGTTGGCATATCAATTAACTCCAGTGTTCCAGATGAACCTGCAATAAAATAAAGCTAAATACTGTTATGAACTATTTTTTGTAGATATTTTGTAGTTAATTTGTAGAAATATTGAAATTCTGTATTTCATATTGAGCTACAAATGATATGTAGTTTTATTGTATTTATTGTAGATAGAATGAAATTCAATACTAATATATATATATAAACTTTGACATGTAGTTTTTTTGTAGAAATATTGTAGATAATTTATAAAGTAATATTCAACCAAAATTCGATAGTAATGTAACAGAACAAACCTGCAACTGTGTTCGAATTGGTGATACTCAATTCTAAATTGAAATCACGTACTGTTATACATAGCGGATATGTTCCTAAGCTTTTATTTTCCTTTTTAGTCTCCATGTATACACGAACACCCATATCGTTCCTAATTTCCATTGGAGGACAATGTTTGTTGAAAATTTATTTGATTTCTATTATTTTTTCGGATGTATCTATCATTAGATGCTCTGCTATTGTAGAATTCAATAGGCTATAACTCGCATCCTCGCCCACTACAATTCTATCGACCTGAAAGTCTCTATATCTCCCATAGCTATCCCAATTCCCATTCAGTTGAAGCATAATTGGGATTTTCGATATAATTGCGCTTGTTACAGAAGAATTGTAGCTAATTTAGTCACTTTTGATTTGTGAAATCAGAAAAACCAGTGAAACAGAGTATTGTCGTAAAAATAGAGTAGTGAATTTTGGAGAGAAATGGGCGAAATTTAATAGCGAGATTTGCGTTTGATAAAATCTGGAAGAATCCTTAATATCCCAACATTCACGCGCTTATTAAAGAAATTGTACAGCTAACAAGATTCTGTTTTTAATGAGTTGTTTATATTTTGTAGAAAATCTGTTAGCAGGGCGGGTAATTTGTAAATTATGGACATTTTTCGTAATATAGTTTCCTATATGATATAGGAACGAAAAATTCCCAAAATGGAATGATTAGAGTCAACCTTTTAGGTATCATTTGATTCAAAACCGGGATAGTCCTGATTATAATCCTGGGATTAAAATAAAACTATAACTTGAATTACTTATTTCACCTTCTATATTAGTTAAGTTATATCAAGATTCAATATAACAAAATAATATCGATTTTAACTAGTACATTTAACCAAATGAGGAATAATTTTAACCCCAAAATTTATATCGAGATAACACACCTAATCCCTTGAACCAAATGATACATAGATTTGGTATTGAGGATAATTATTTTTAATTGAAAGAAGAGAGTTGATATAACGAGCACTATGTTTAGTCCAAAATTCCAAATTCACCCATCCTTTTGACCTAAGAAAATTTTGTGTGGGTTATGATTTGACCTGTTTATCATTTCAATTTGCTTTAAACCGGTAAAAATTTAGTGCAATCCGTTTATTTCACATCTTTAATTGGGAACTAGAAAGCACTGTGAATATAACTACTACATATATGGGTCATATCAGCTAGCTAAGTGGCCAAATGGCACGTAAATTGCAACAGAAGTTGAATAGAGAATCAACGGAGATGGGCCTAAAAGAAAGAGGAAAAAATGCGTCCCTACCAAGATTTTCAATCGCTTCCCCTTTTGTTTAAATCCAAAAGGTTCCATTGAAGAAAAACGTTTATGATGCTATTTGAAGTACTAAGATAGTTCCTTAACAATTTTTGGGGTCATGCAACACGATTTTATGATTATATTCATTTTTTTGTGTATTAGTACATATTATTTTTATAGAATATTTTTGACGGACTTCGGGCCTAAAGTTTCGTAGGTCCATGGGAAACGACGTAAAATTTTTATGTCGGACCTAGTTTTGTGCCTCCGATTAAATTTGTATCCATTCAAAAAAAAAAGTATAATTGATACCTACTTTTTTAGTAACTTCAGATTAGGGGTGGGCGTTCGGGCAGTTCGGATTGCATATGAAATTTCGGTTTGGATTTTCAGTTTTCGGATTGACAAAATGACAATCAAATCCAATCCAAATAAGTTCGGATTGGATCGGATTTTTTAAGTTCGGTTTCGGATTAATCGGTTTGGATATTTTGGATTTTCGGTTTTGAGCTTATAACTTGAGATGTTTCTTCGTTTTACAAAAATGAATATCCAAATGAAGTACTCATGTTAAACTGCCTGAAACGTTATTCATTTTCACCGCAATCATCCAAATGAAATATTAAATTAATAAAATTATTATATATATAAAAAAATACAATAGAGATGTTAATACGACAGATAAGAAGTAGAAATAGTAAAACCATGTCTAAATAGAAAGTATTCACATAATAACTTAGTAATTAATATTGAATATATATGATAATATCTAATGTGTAGGGTAATGAACTTATTACTATTGACATATGCATAATGGACTAAATATAAAGTATAAGAATTTTGGATTTTCGGATATCCATAAATTCGAAGTACCAAATTCAATATCCAATCCGGAATCCAAAAATTTTAAAAATTAAATCCAAAATCCAATCCGTAATGCGAAAATCCAAACCAAAAATCCAAAAAATTCGAATTTCGGGTTTGCCCAAAGTATGCCCACCCCTACTTCAGATACATACATTTCTCTCCTCCTCTTCTTCT